GTGGTTGCGAACTAAACACACTAATTTATTACAAGTTTACGTCACTTACAAGAAATTGGCCATACTCCACTAATGTGTACTCGTTGAGCCACCTAAACGAATCTTAGGGTCTGAGAGATGTTATGATCGCTATACACATTGCATTCGAGTGATCGTTTGCAATAAGCGACTGCTCAATAGCGCCAACATTACAGGAATTCCAGGCGAAGGCACTATATTGATTTCATCTGTGTCGCTAGTTTTCGCGCTTCACCGACCGATACGTCCCTTCACACATACGAAAACTGAACAGACTATGCCAATGATAGACAAATCGTACGCTAACTGAGAGGCACAAAGAAACGTGAATGAGCAGAAGCGCTCAACTCTTACCACTCCACTTCCACTAAGGGACATTTACAAAAATTCTCGGTTACTATAAAAAATAATTCGATGACCTAGCCAATGCTTCTGAGGCCGTTAATAAAGGTCTCGAAAAAACTGCTAACGGACTATGAGAACTGGTTACTTCACGACACCGAGCCGTCCCTATTCTTCTGGAGCATCCCGGATAACAGCCTTCAGAGCCACTGTGAGCGATTCTAATATTCTTGAACGCTTCAGAGATCCCACTTTGCTGTGCCAAGACTATCGTGAATCGGCGCAAAGCTTTTCGTAAATCGAATTCCGCAGGATTCCTCTTCGCAGTCGCTACATTTCATATTCGCTTTGGCAGTTTTTTCATTTTCTTTAATAAAACGATAGTGATGGATTGGTGATAAGATTTACTCAAATATTTTGTCCATTTTTAAAGAACAATCACTTTTATTGGATAAGTATGAACAGCTACAATCTGAACAACGAAGAAGAAAGGAGGAAAGAAGATTACAAGTGTAAAGCTGTAAAATCTTCATATTACACAGGAAAATATACAAACTGGTAGAAATATGAGAGATAGTCAAATTAAAAATCTCACGTTAAGCTTAACTCGTCGAACGAACTCTTCGCATCTTCTCCTAGACTACATGTAAGCAAACTGAACTGCAAAGGGAAAAATATCTGTCGCCGTTGTATGAGAATATTTTATCACGAAGCTCAATGACAATCACCATATAACTTGTCGATAATAACGGACCACTGAGTTTTTTTCCACAAAATTCCCGAAATTCGAACTGAATATCCATCATCATCGAAAGATAGACGTTGATGTCACTCGATGATTTGTCGATATTTCGATAAAAATGAAGCGAATGAAAAAGATGTACCTCAAAATCGATCGATCGCTTTCGTATATCCTATCGATTTTCTCCATAAATCACTTCGACTAACATCAACAATTTTGCTCGTATTGATTACTAAGCTATTCAAATCCCACAGATCACAAGCATTCATTTAGCCGGACTACGAATAAAAATAACAATAGAAACGCAGTAAAATCACATTTTGCGTATGGATCACTGGTCATCGGTGTTCATTGTAATGAGATAGACGAAAAATCTTTTAAATCACTCAGTACTTTCGCGCCAAAAGTTCGTTTTCTCTCATTTTTCCATTGTCGCAGAAAAATTAGGAATAATCGATCGATTAGCGCGCGCGTGTGTGCGTTGGGAGTGTGGTAAATGAGGAGGCGCCAACGCGCAGACAATTATGATCACTGCGTACAAGTGGTGCACGGTAAGAAGTGTGCGTAAATGAAAATGATGTTCCATTTAATCGATAGAACTAATCATATCATGGGATTATGGCTAGTTATATATATTCTCGCATTTTTTAACCCATTGGTTGAAATTTCCATGATTCCATCCCATACGGATTTGCGGTCGTTGCTGACGACGGCTGTGTGTATTGGAAGTAATCCATAGGACTTTGGTAGTTTCCTGAAGTAAAAAATCATAATATGATAGAGTTTAGCAACTATTTTAGTGTTACGACAACTGTGATCATCATAAAATAATGATGTTGAGCTGTCATCCTTCAACGGGAATTGATTTGCTGGTGACATTCAGCGAAAATCGTACTCCTCCAGCGTTTAACATATCAGTGAGAATAGAAACGACAGATGGTCAAGTCGAAACAGAAGTTCACACGGAAACTAGAACGCTGTGAAAACAGGCTAACCAAGCACTTAGGAATTCCACATAATTTTTCCCTACGATATTGAAGAATCCTTTTTGGCCTAGTCCAATGAACTTCCTATGGGTAGTCGTTCTCCGAAGCACTAAAAATAGAGCTCCTTATCTCAGTGTTCATTGATCGAGTGGAGCTCACTGTGTAGTTCTGGTAAGCAGTATAAACAAACGAAGTCTTCACCTGCATTTGAATAACTCGATAATTAGCGGACGGTTAAACGACTACACACTATTCCTAATGATCAACTGTATCCCAAAATCGTTTATCGCTTAATCACAGCTGCGTGAGTGTTCCTGGATGTTGAACTGCGATGTACAGTTGAAGGCTCCGGCTATAGCAAAATCATCCAAGCTGAGAAGGACTTCGTCGTTTCCGGCATGAAACCCAGCCAAGAGTAGATCTATTTAAAGGCAGAGTGAAGAAATCAATTAGTGGCCAGATTCTTGCTAAAAAGAAAAGTACGGATGATACAGTACGAAAACAGTTGTGTTCGACATATTTGATCGACACTGCAAGCGTAAGCAAGTGCTGATGAAAGTTTTTCAGAAATCCACTTTACACAGGAATTTTCATTCTAACTGATAACTGGCGAGTGGCTGAATTCAACTCAATCGGCTGAATAAATGACCGAAACGATAGTCGATTCAAGACTGCAGTGGGTTTTAGACTATGCAAAGGCCTAAGTGATGCATGATAAAAATGTTACTGCATGCATCATTCCAACTCACTTGAGCGCACCAATTTGGAACAATTGTTCTTCGGCTATGGTAATTCCTTCCTTCCTTTTAACCAATTAGTTTCTCCCCAGTAATTTCAAGTTGTTACCAAATTCAAAACTATGTCTATTGTCAGTGCTGCTCACAAAACTTCCTTACGTAGATGTCATCGCTAGCTGTTGCATAAAAATAGCACGTGAGGATTCATCTTCAAATACAATATCGTTTGCAAAGGATTTTCAGTGACTACCTACCGTAACTATACTGTGCTTGTGGTCGGAACGATGCAGCTGAGTAGTTGTTCGGCGAGGCGGTCGTGGTCAAGTAATTGTTACCCATTGTTTTGTCGTCAGAACATGGACTCTGTGAGTTTTCGCTTAGCGTGGGCTCACTGGGCTCTTCGGACTTAATCTGAAAGAATGGGTTTTAAAAAAAGTAGCGGCTTTAGTTGAACAACGCAGAACTGTTTTCAGAGCCAGGAGTTGAATACCTTAGAATTCCTTGCCCACGACTAGGCATCAATAATGGAAGCGTTTTCATCAAAACAAACACAAGAACACCAGTTTTTTTGTAGTCAAGAGCTTCTTGTGAACAGCTTTGCATGTAGAATCACTTTGTATACAAAACATCACAACGAAATTACCGAAAGCAAATATTAAACTCATGGCACTTAACTATCGTTACTGTTTGTGAAAAAATATCGCTTAAAAATTCAAAATTTCATTTATTATTCCGCTTTCTCGTTTTTCACTGAGTATTTCTACCTACAGTAACCTACTATTGAACACTACATAAGAAAAAGTGGCAGATGTAGCACAAGAGGTGCCCTGCAATTCGCACGTGTTGTTAGTTCGATGTGATGCTCTAGGCTAATCAACTCCTCCATTTCTTGGGGTTAGCAAATTGGCACGAAATTTTTGTAGACGACAAAAACCGGTAACTTGACACATCGGCTTTCCTTGGCTAACACGTTGGATAAATATTCCTTTGTGATGCTTCAAGTGAACTCAAATTCATAGCGCATTTCTAAGAGAATGAGCTATGGTGAGCATTTCACCTTCATCTTTACAGTAGGTAAGACGTTCACCGTTCCATTTCACAGCAATTTCAATATTGCTGTCTGCTTCAGATCCAGATGGCTGTATATATTAGCACAGTGCTTCGTATTTTTCACAGTGATCTTGCACAAGTCATGGTTATAGTTTAAATGAATCTTGTTTAGCTGACGGCTAATATGATTACAGTAAGTACAGTTCAGAAGTAGAAAGCGTGCAGCGACTGACATTCACATCAGCGTCAGTGGTCGATGCCGTGCCTTCCGTGGACGACGAACCGCTGCTACCAGCCGAACTGTTTTGCTGTGATTTCTTCTGCTGTCGTGCTTTAGCGCGGCGATTTTTAAACCATACCTAGAATATAATGCACTAGAGAAGTCGTTTTTCCGTGCAGTACTGATTTTCATGCAGTCTATAAACCGCTTTGTAATAAGAGGATAATTTTTGGGGGATATTTTGAATGACGAAAAAAAGCAAGGCGATAGTTTTAGAAAACGAAAATCTAAAATAAATTGGTGATAAATGGCTAACAGTTGCGATAACTAGTCGCCCATCAACGGGATTAATCTGGTGAGCACAAATCTGCATTGAACCCAATTAAGTTAAACCGTGGAATTGTTATGCGTCAAGGTTTAAGCCCCACTATTTCTCTTTTTCACTATTTCTAGTGAATTTAGTTCCACGCGCTGCCGATAAATCGATACGGTCCTTAGGGCGAGTCTTGTTTGGCCACACGAGCGCGCGCTCGGCGTCAGGGATTACGGTACAGACGAGTTTCCACTTCACATGGGGCCTATGTGAAAAAGCAGTGCGTTCGCAGGTAGCAGTCAATGAAATAAAATTGTGAATAATAATACTAACGATTACACTTTTTGTGAAAATGCAAATGAAAAGACTGTGGAGCTCTCCTCTCTATTCTTGTTGAGCAAACGCGAGGTGTTACTTTTATTCTTTATTCACGAATAAGCTGGCGTTTCGGCAGATTTCACCTTCCTCAGAGCTTCGAGAGGTTGTCAGGTTCGAGTTTAGTACTCTTATTGGATAAATCAAAAAATTTTGCATCAAAATCTATTAATGAAACTGGAGAAAATGGCATAACCATGGGTGAAAAAATGGATTTTCAAACCTGAACTCGACTTTCGGGTAACTGAATTTTTAACGCCATATCTTCTCGCATAAAAATATCTGGATATCTGGTTTTTAGGAATGCATGCTCTAAAATTTCCAATTGACTACGGGTGAATGTTGTTCGCTCACGACGTTGCTTCCTGGAAAATCAAACATCCTGAGGTTTCGTTGACATTTGTAATTCTGTAAAACTTTAGAATTGTGGCTATTTTTAGCAAATCATTTAACAGTAATTAACGAAGTTAAACCAACGAATCTGCCAAAAACATAAATTTTAGACACACTTATGATTTAGTTTGCCAAGAAAAATATTTTCATGCTGATTTCCATCGAGGGATGCGCCATGCATTCGACTTCATTAAGCATCGTCTGGAGGTGATTGAATGTATATCTAACCCTACAATGACCCGCGGTGGCCTGCTGATGTATCGACCCAGTGTTGCTATTCTCCTAGACAAGTCCTGTAGCAATCTGCTGACCCTGGAGGGTTGGAAGGCTTGGTGGGCCATGGGTGCGGGGATGGATTCCACGTGTGCAGGGCGCATCTAACCGCTGCGCCACACGCGCCACCTATTAAGTCAGTACTTTCCAAAAATTTTTAATCTATCCGACTATATGGAAGGTGATTATTTATCGTTGTGAGGTATGGCCTAGGATTAAAAAGAAACATTTTACGAAGAAACCTTTATTGATTGTTTTTTGTCACTAAATTTTTGTCATTTTGATAACCAAACGATTTTGCTGAGTTCCATAATCGCCTAAATCGCTTTTCCTGGATAAAATATCTTCACAGAAACATGTGTGGAAAGTTTTCTCAAAAAATATTTCGAGGTTATATGATTTAGAACTAAAGCGTCAAATTAAAACCAAGTAGAAGTAGGAAATGTGCATCTCTCCAACGAAGGATGAATTAAAGAGTTTCTTAACTGATGTTCAGTGCTTAAATTTAACATTTCCCCAAGAAAACTACGACCAACAGTTGCGTTTTAAATAAACCAAACCAAATAGATTGTCGTAGATACCTTGGTGGTCCGCCGGCATTCCAAGCGAGTCCTCCTGGTTGACATTCAGCTAGACTTCCACCAATGTATCCCATACCAGTCGGTAAAAAATTGTGCGTGGGAGCTGTTGGGAATCCTAAATGTGGAGCACCGTAAGCAGCTCCTTTAGTGTTAAAATAAGCCGCGGTCATGTTCGCCACCGATGACATGTTGGCTGCTGCTGACGATACCGACGGAATGTATGGCATCGACTGAAATTCTATGAATTACCTACATGCTGTTTTCCAATTAAAATTTTCGTAATACGCTAGCATTCCGTTAGCATTTTGTATGGATGGTGGATGGGATCCACGTCGTGTAAATTAACTTTAATGGCTCAAGCCAGACACTTCGCTGCTAGTTCCATACCGTCTATTGCCTAGCTTCATTAGTAGATCAAAAAAATACAAATAACTAACGCAAAAGTAACTAATAGAGCTTCTCATTTGCATATGTTGCCTAGTCCAATAACTCAGACCTTTTCGTTTAATCCACGTTTTTGTTTTAACATTTACTGAATTCCGTCTCATTTTCCGCCTCACAATATTGCAGTGAAACCCTCTGGAAGTTAAAATCAGCCTAAGTATTCTTCGTCTTGCTGACAATGAACAAATACATGTGACAACTTAGGATCCTATAAATTAACTGCATTTTCTATATTATCTACTGTCACTTAGTGGTACTGGTAAATGAAGAACGGATAATTGTACGCTAAGAGGTTTTAAGCTGGATTAATGAGAAAATAAAAAGTGGAGAGTTCTGAGCTTTTTCCAGTGTCGAGTTTTTTACACGATATATATCTATTATCATAAGAATCCCTTTTCTATAAAGACCACATCTATAAAAATTCTTCCGTCCTGATTTTCATTCTTTTTCACAAAAATAACTGAATAACTTAAAATAATAAAATAGAATATAAAATAACTTAAGTCCAATTATAAAATTTTTAAAGATATTTTCATCTTTAAGAAGTTCTTTTAGTTACAAAGAAAAATACTTTCCAAAGAACCTAATCAACAAATGTTTTAATAGTTCTTTTTTTAAATAGTTGCCATCAATCACTTGTCCTCTTCTTAAGACAAAAGATCGTAACGCAATAATAGATTAGCAAATTTAGTATTTCTATAAAACATGCTATTCGACCGGCACTCTTTATCAGTTGTCAGTTGCCGCCACTTTTTAGCTGATATCATAAGAACAAAACCACAGTGTTAATCGGAGTCACTTCTCCTCCCTATGATCGGCTTGGTGATTGTGAACCGCTATCAGCGAAAATGAAGCGCCAAATTGGATTCCAGAGGTGTTAAATAGCCATTGTGAAAATACACATGAATAGATGATTTCACCCTATTTTCCTCGAAAAGAGAACTACTTATTGATTTCCCGCAAATCAATACGACCAATTAAGCTTTGTTCTCAAAAAGAGTTAGCAAAAGATAGATGTGTATTTTAGAATCTATGTAGAAATAAAATTTTTAAAATGATCTCTCATAACTGGTTTCCTTTAGCGCTAACAAGGAAAAAAATTATGTGAAAATTTCATATTGTAAATGTGAAAATTCACACTACGGAGAAAAAAGTCTCTTTCGAATGATCGGTTAAAACGCCATTTTCGATTGGAAGAATTCGGTTTTCTTGTGTCCCTTGAATTCTAAGCGGTCCTTAATCCCACCGCTTAATTTCCAGAGCTGAGAATAAAAAATTCGAAAATGGCACTACACCGAAACCACTGAGAGCAAAACCATTGTGGACTAGAGAAATCCAAATAACGACTTACCGATTTTGATTTGATCGACAGAATTCGAGCAATGAGTGAAAATCGGTCGTAGGTGATACAGAACTATTTTAAGACACCCAATTGTCATTCGAAACAAAATGCTTGTAGAACGCAATAATTGCATTTGAGTTAGTACGGAACCATTTCATTCTCAACTGCACAGTTTTAAGGAAACTGCAAAAATATCTCGAAACCCCAGACTAACGCTTTGTAAGGAAAATAGAGCGCGAGAAACTTACTAAGCCGTCATAAAAAGGATATAAAAAACAAAAAATACTGAAGTAGACACGATATTCTACCTATCATCGATTTATTGATTTTCGAAGGTTTAAAAGAATTAGCAGGTGCAGTTTTCAATAAGCATTTGGCAATATGTTAAAGAAATGAGCTCGCCCTATATTTACTCAAGCGATGGATTTATTAGAGAATGTAGAAAAACCGCGTAAGATTAATTACCTAGAAAGAGTGCTTTACAAATTTTATTGTGGTTAAATAAGGTTCGTAATAACCATTGAGTTAATCAAGTGATTGTTTTAAGACAGAAGATTAGGTCCGTTGCTAGAAAAAATCGAAGAGTTTATCATTTTCAGAGATCCAGCTATGTTTCGAACGAAAGAAAATGAAGTAGTGGAAAACATAATCAGGGAAAAATTAGATGATAACTCACAAAATTTCCGTTATTCATCGTTGATGTCGGGATCATCTGATGGAACGAAGAGTCGAATTTTCCCTACAGAAGAATGTGAGTTTATCATAGCAGGAATAATAACCAAGAAAAGAAGCAATGACAATCATACTAGGACGGAACAGCAATAGGTTGGTAATAAATTGAAGAACGGTCGGCTAAGTACTGAATTGAGAAAAGCAACACGAAAACATATTTTATATCGAAAAATACAAGTTTACCTGGTCGAGAACACCTGGACCGAGGCCAGCTTATGCCAGTCATAGCTGTCGCGCTGTGATCTGCAGCGACAAATCGCAGCCGCAGGCAACTGTGGGCGGCGACGGCGACGGCGGCGGTCTCGACCCGATAAGCCTATCACATCATCCTCAGATTACGATAAACCAGCAGCGGCGAGCTGTGGAGAAGGCGACGAGCCGGCGGCTCAGCCAGCCACAATGCGATTTCGCCGCGCAATCCGCCGTCGCGACACGCCCCGTCAGCGGTCTCCGTGTCGCCGTGTGCTCATGCGCGATCCCTCGCCAAACTGGCTCCGCCCACCGCGCTACGACCAATCAGCGCGCTGTCGACGGCAAGCGCCCGGCGCTCATTGTTTGGGCGACGATTCTGTTTCGTGGCCTCGGCGGATTACGGTAGTGAAGGAGACGCGGTGGGCTGATAGAGACACAACTAGAAAGCTCGGCAGAGTTGAGAAGAAGTGGAAGGAAACACGAATATAATAAGGAAAATGACAAGAAAAATTACTGCTAGACGCGAAAATGGTGCTGGAAGCATTAACTTCGCTTAAAAAGAAAGGAATTCCTGTTTTAATATTTGAGTCTTAAAATCAGTTGGAATTGCTAATTTTGAGGCAACTTCAGGCGGAATTCCTGCAATAAACCGGGTTCCTGACGTTCTAATGTGGCATTGCCGACTCATTCGACGAACAAGTGTTGCGCATTATAAATCCGTAAATAATCCTGATAAACCTATCTGTAGTGTGTCTTAGAGACGGTTAGAAAGGTAAACAATTGCCAGACAGTAAATTGCACGGCGTTTAACTGCCGATTGAGAAAGTTTATTGGATGAATTCTTCCAAATATAAGTACTTTTCTTTTCAAATAACCACTAACTGAACAAAAGAGTGCTCACCAGGCTTAGACTGTTGTTGAGGTTATTTGGATAATTCTGACCACCTGAGGATGACACTGAACGTAGGTTTTGTTGATTAGCTGTAAGACGAAGCTAGAACTGTCGAGAAAGCCAATTGTAGAAATGGATAGTGAAAATCATACTAAGACATGCATAAGGAGTAGGCCGGATAAGCCATCTACACGATGCGGATTTGCCGACTGTCAAGCTAATATTGAAAATGGATACACGAAGACACCTTGACGTCGGCATCAATCCCTTTTATCCCATGTTTAAAGAAGCAATTACGACAGAGAAAGAACACAAGATACGCGAAGGAAATCAAAGGAGGCAACGTCGTTGAACACCTCGATGTCCGCAGTGTAAAAGCAGGAGCGCCAATTATCCATGGAGCACGATTAAGTGTGGAGAGGTATCGTCTCAAAGAAACGTCTTTATTCACCATATATGGAAAAAGCTTCACTTAAGAAACTTTCGATCAGAAAAATCCAACAACTAGTCTTGAATATTGTGAGAACACCTAAATTCCTTTAAAGGAGAATCAACATTCGGAAGACGTGGATGTTGGAAACACCAGCTATATTTTCAAAATAAATTACTTCACTCTTTAGACATCTTTAAAAAGTTAATTAGTTCTCCAAACTCTTGCACTTTTCTGATGGAATATTTCATGTAATGTTAACCAAACAACAAAATAAAGATGATATTTTAGTATTTGTTTGGTCCTTGCCATTATGAAGGAGCCATCGTTGAATGCTGTCTTTCCGAATCTAACCGTTACGACGATAAGGACAATCACTATATTGAGTTTTTCTAAAAATCGATAACTGATAGATAGACGATCGATACCAATGCATATTCGTCATGTAGTTCCTCTGAGCGTTGTGCGCGTCCCGACCGCGGTCGGCAGTGTTGATTTTTTGGCTTAGTTATTCGACTGTCCCACCTTTTGGTGACTAGTATAGGTGTGATTAGTTTGATAACACTTACTGATAATCTCACAGTTTGGCATACCAAAGCAAAGAACTTTTTACAAACAATGAAACGTTTTCAATAGCGACTTATTGAAATTTGAACATTTTTAACGATCTTCACAAGATCATGAAAGCTGAAGTCCTCTTTTATACCTTATACCACTTAAGCCATCCTGTCCTCATTTAACACTAACTACAAAAAGTGGTGTCTATTTAAATAAATAACCCGACCAATTTGGTAGTTTAGAAAGACGACTACTTTTTAGAAAAGTTAGGATATGGAGCAAACTGTGTCACTAACCGTTACAACGGCGATTTGATTTGTTACAAAACTTCGTTTTTAGTTGCCAGATAGCTCACTTACAGCGTTTCTATGAATAATACAGTTCAAATTCCATAAAAAACGACAAAATTTAACATTATACTCTTTATTGAGATGAAACCGTTTAAAGTCCTAGAATTCTGCTCAATGTGTTATGTGATACATCGTCTATTTCGGTAACGATCCAGTCTGCAATTAGACGTCATGCCTTCACGTACTCGGGTTGCAGTCCCAGAAAATTCGTCAACCCGATACAGTACAGCTGTTCGGATTAGCCACAACTAATCCGACATCGTGCGCCTCTGAATCAAGGTGAATGGTCGTCATTCGACCTCATGGCACCACCAACCCCACGACAGCAATGAGGTGGAGTCGCGGCAATCCGTTTTCAGTGTTCACTTTTACAACTACGAAGAAGAAACCATCGATGTCATATTCTTTCAAAGTTAGGACAGGTAAAAGTCCTTACAACATAAACCACTATCAATTCAGGTATTCAGATAATTCAACATGGGTAAATGAAATTTTCTAAAATCTTCCGAGCTAGTGGAAAACCAAGGATAAAAGGAAATTTTGCTAAGAAGACGGAGGAAGGAACAAATTCGCCTGTCGCTCCATTTATGATCAAGTTTCCCTGATCACTTTTTATCATTTCCTGAGAGATGTGCGGTCTGAAAAGTGTTTAGTCGGCGTCTTCTTGTCTGTTCTACGTGAAAAAGTGGAAAAAGTTGACAGCGAACACTGCGTCAACATCATTGTAAGTACTTGTATTTTCGGCTTCCACACCATCGAGCCTTGTTCAACGAAAACTGGAAATTATATTGCATGACACTGCATGATTCGGTGCGACGATCCGCTTACATGCATAGATGAGTATCATTATTTCGACTATCATCAACAAAACCGGAACATCACCACCGTATTTGTTCCGAGTACGGTAGTTATGATGACGTCGAAAGACGAAGAGCAATACGAGCACGTATCTGTTACATTTCTGTTAGGGAAATATCAAATTACATAAATGTGCATGCGAATTACGGTCTTATAAATGTTTTCCGATTCGGATGAATACTCTCATCTTGAAAGGAATGGAAATCCGACATAATATCATGGAAAAAAAATATTTTGGGTTGCTTTTGATCTTCAAGTACCAATAAATCTCTTAACAAAGTAAGCCGCCTAAGCAATAAGATATAAGAGGCTTTTTCCTTTTTTCTTTTCTATTATGGAACAGTCGATATCCACAAAATCGACGATCCAGTGGAGACATCGGCATACAAATCACAACACACCAACTTATATGAAAATTCTAAGCGTTTGGGTTATCCATGTAACCGAAATCCAGAAATAAACCATTAGTCTCTATCCTCTTTGTCTATCAGCTAGATTGAGATTAAACATAGAATAGCTTCTATGAAGCACAGTAGGACGCACATAGCTCAAGAAGAACATATTCGATTTTCTAAGATAATATGGATTATTTCGATGCATAATAAATCATCCTCTAATCTTCCTGTGGCTTATCATCAAAATTACTGGCACAAATACGAAATTCTATAATTGTTTAAAATTGTACAATAATGTATAAATTTGTGTTGGCTCATCATCAAATTGACCATCAGAATATTGCTCAGAAGGGATCAAGGCTATCCAGAATAGAATCACATGTTCTCACCTATATCTAAGAAGCAGTGAAGAACACAAAGATCAGATGGGTGCTCAATTCGTCAACTTCATTCTTTCTATTCTTCCTGCTCTAAGCCTACGTTTCCAAAATGTGGACGACACGTATGTACAATAGAAAGGCTACCAGGGTGACCAATCACGAAATGAACGCAACGACGTTCCAAATATCCTATCGCACCCAAATGAGAAACAGTGTTCGAATTTCAAATAAAAAATCAAGGATCCTGTAACATGCCTTTAGAGGATGTACATCAAATAGAGTGTCGCACGATGTCAAGTGTACCTCAAGGAGACGTCACTGGTCTGATGTTCAGATGTCTTCACCATTTCTTCCTGTCTCTTGAGAAAGGTGAGCATAATGGACAACTTTTCGCGCCACGAGGAGAAATGGAGCACTTCTCTGTGTCTATTGAAATAATGCGATGGTCAACAAGTGATTACAATCCTTCGCACTTCTTTCTGTCTACAGCACTATCTATTTAACAAGTCTAAAAGGATATTTTGCTTTTTCTCGCTAAGAAAACAACGTCATTGGAGGACATAATTTTCAGGCGTCCACAGAAATGATTCAATGCTACTACAAATATTGACCTGCTCTCAAGATTAGATCTTACAACATATTTAATGGAGTACATGGAAAAGGCTTTTAAAGGTCCGGCGTATTTTCTCTTTCGTTTTTTAGTCGACAATGAAGCAAACTTTGCCAGTATTTGTCGTTCTGACGACGACGATAGAGTAAGCATAAGATTAGCGGCTACATCCTTTGGTCAACGGTGTTATCGCCAAACATTCATTAAGAGAGATGGTACCGCACCACTCAAGAACCAATTGACAAGTTTGGAGAGAAGACGACAAACGTTTGACGACGGACGTCAGATGGCGGACGGCGAACCGAACGACACCACAGACGGCACCAGAAAGCAAATAGTCATGCCAACTCTTTTTTTTTCCAAAGCTCGTGCTTCGCTTTAGAAGCTGTCTAAAAGAAGTCAACGAATTCACGGTTGCGTCGAGCCTACTAAATAAACGGCGTCTGCGTAGGAACGATTCGCCGCCGTAATAATTCTTCGCGGTTTTCTCCTTTCATCAATATCAACAATGGCATGAGCGAGAAGGAAAAAGAAACGCTTTTGCTCATTTTTAAGCAATAAATGAATACCGAAACAATTTTATTAAGTTTTTCATAAACGGGCACGTATTTTCCTCCAGTAAATCGAGTCAAACACGATGCTTTGAATTAAACCATTGACAAAAGTCTTACACTGTCATAAGATTGACATCAACTGTCATCGTATGATGTCAAACTAGACTGACACTTTAGGGTTTATCCTCTCTCTCTCCTTGGGCTCCGTCGTGTACACGGTCCTGCGATTTCGGCAGTTTGCCATTAGGTTCGACCGGGCTGAGCCGGCTGATCGCCGTCTCATCTCCTCGAGCGGCAGCCGGCGTCACATCAACGCCACCGTCAGTCCAACTCCTCATCATCACCGACATCAAACGTTTTCAAATCTTTACTATATTACTCTAAGCTGACATTTCCAGGTAGTACTGAGATGAAACTAAGTGCAATTCCAGGTTTTCCGTTAACTTAGAGTGTTATTACTGACGACCTTGTACACTTTGTACTAAATGTACCAAACATAAGCAATTCTCCACATTCATGATTACCATCACCTTCTGAAGCTTCTTGCCACCTCTAGCCCATCATATCTCCTTGGGAGGGTTCACGATATTGAAGTGAACGCTGACACCTTTGTTTCACATTAGGAGAACTTTTAACATGAATTTCTTCGCTAATATCCCTCTTGCACGAAAATCTACATCTATACCCCACTTTTTCTTGCCATAAACGTATTGTAGAATCTAATCATTCCGTTAGTAACTAAATATAGGTGAAAAGAAACGAGACAACTTCTCGTCAACAAAATTGCTCACACCACTTAAACGGCGATTTTCGAAAACATTTTTGTACCTCGACGTTTGAATCAAATTGCCCGATCTTTTCGAACAATAATTAAATGGATAAATAAAGTGAAAAGTAAGTGAATAAGCATACCGCTTTAAATCAATAGTGCTCTCAAGGATACGGTAAAGTCTATTTCTTAGCCTTCCACTCGAGATTCTCAGAAAGGCACGTCTATTTATTTACTTTGTCATTTATTCACTTACTTATTCAATTACTTGAAAAAATAGGATTTTAGTGACAAAAAAACCCTAAACAAGAGTTACATGAAGGAATGTACGACGAAGTGATGGGGTATCCAATGGTAAATCTACGAGACGTACATATTAAGTGTAAATGTTTAAGTAAATTTACACATTATGTTTTAAAAAACAACTTTTCGGTGCCCGAAAAGAAGAAGATTTAAGTAGAAAAAAAATCTTCGAGAATGAACGATTAGTCGATGACTGAGTAGTTGGCACGAAGCCAGTGTGAAAACTCGCCTTCCATTGATAGGATTGTCGCGTCTGTGTACCAGACTTCTTATAAAACGCCCTCTATACCACCAATACCCACGGCCCATAACTCGTGTTCACACACTTTTCCCATTCACTCACATCAAAATTCTTCGTTATTTTACTGTTACATCAATTTCGACATGTCGAATAAAGTTAGCCAAATCGATGCGCATCTTTTCCATACGACTGTGTGCCAACCCATAGAGATAGCTCAAAGCCTCATGCGCAATCTATAAAAAGCTCATCCTATAAAAGCTACTGCGTGATATCTACTGTTCTATTGATATGTGGATTCACTGAGGAAATAACAATGTTTTTCAATTTGCTCATGAAATTGCATAAAAGCTCTGTGTTTTATACCAACTATTTCCGATGCTATCGTAGGCTTCCTCAATTCCACACTTATAATATACTGTATTTGTAGCCGAAGTAGCGAAATCACTAGATATCTATGCACAACTTCATTATATGCTGCTGACAGCTGTAGGTAACTCGGCTAATCGTTGAACGAGTCAAAAATTCAGCAGGAAAGTAACTATTCTTCAGTTTTGAAACCGTCCAGTTTGCTCATTCTCACTGGAGGGATATCAAAAGCACCATAAGTTTCCTACAAGTTTCACCATTTCCAACCATTTAGGGTGATAAGGCTTATAATTATTGCTTATCGGGCTTTTCAAAAGCGGAGTATGAGGCTTATTAGTTGGACACCATGAAGGACCGTCCGATAAGCACCTCGTGGTCAGATGATGGTTGAGGCCTTTAGAGGAAAGGATGTCGAGGATAACCATGTGTTCTACTTTGATCCACAATTAACTCATCATTCATAGAGAAGGAAACCAGGTAACCACATAACTCATAAACACTACCTGCCTCAGGATTCCGACCTAAAGTATCTAGGGTAACGATGGCTATTTTCATCAATTTATCGTCATTCGTAATAGGGCCCAAAAAAATTTACAACGATAAGGAAATTATTGCCCAGTATGTAGACCGATACCTGTATCTCCTGGATAGTATTTGCCCCTGATCGATGGAGAGATCGGTATTCACTATTATTGCAATTGAAGGATAAAGGATAAAGCTCTCGCCGTTGATCAATCCCTGAGGGACGCGCCATGCATTTGACTTCATTTATCATCGTTTGGGACTGACTGAATACATATCTGACTTTTACAATGACTAGCGGTGGTCTACCGCTGTATTGAGCCAACGCTTCTATCCTCCTAGACAAGTCTGGTACCAATTTGTCGAATCCGGAGGGATGGAAGGCTAAATGGGCCAGGACAGCGACAATCGATCCTATGTGTGTGTCGTAGTGGCGCCTCCAACCACTGCGCCACACGCACCCCTATTACGATTGAACCGGAGAACTTTTCGCAACCTACCTTTCGAACAGTCTAAACGTTTAAATCAAAAAATCAATTGTTTAAAAGTTTTTCTTATAGATAGGCATTCTATAGAAGACGTATGCTAGAAGTAGTTAATTTAATAATCAAAAAATTGTTCATGTTCCCTAGAAACTGAAAGTGTGATTCCAGAAATTACCCTAATGAAGCTTCCTATTAGTAGGTGTATCCTAAGTTTTTTTTATTTAGTCTTCTATATAGATAATCGCCTTGTTACAAATTTAAGAGATTTCTAAGCGGCGGAATGTCTTCGTGAACGTTGTGAAAGAAGCGATGAATCTCATTGAACGTTAGCCTAAAAGGGCAATTGATATTGCTTGGATACTTATCTCAGAATGTCTGTTTGCCGTGCCAATTATGCTAATGGTCTGCTTGCCAACGTAAGTGATGCGAATCCGAGCGTACCGTATCTGACTGATGTTCAAAGCTATTCATGGTCGACATTAGAACAACAACAAAGTCAAGCTGTATTCATCATCTGTTTAATATCTTCGCTATTTTCATAAACAATTTCTATGTCTCGTCAAAGTTTGTCTGTCGTTTTGAAAAGTCAAATAGTTCCATGTTGACAATCATAAGTCAGATACGCTCAACACCAATCTTGCACAGATAAAGTATATGCGAAAACAGACTTTATGGTTAAAAGTTAAAAGAAGGCTCTGAGTTCTTCCTTTCAGTTTTTGACTTCATGGGAACAAAAATAGCTGAAGTTTACACAACTACTTATAAAAACAGAATAAGAAAATGTAAAATAATGTTCTGTTTCGTTCCCATCGTTCTCTAAGTATTAACTAAAAAAGGTCATAAGCATATGTTTGCATTCTCGTGAAACAAAGTTATGTTTCCTCAATTTTCTAGTCTTATTCTTCCGAACTCCCATTAAAACCGGCAGCGGTCGTGCCAGCACTTGTCTTGGTGTACCGTAATCTGCGTACTGATTATTCGACTTCAAAACGCGTCTACCACGAAAGTCTCTCAACTAGTACATAGGAGAATTCTATGAGAATAACCTTCCGCTTTCGAGGTAATTCGTGATAAAAGCTCTAAATACGGTAATAAACCTTGATAAATAAGAAAAATGACAAGCCATTCATTTCTATGAGAACGAAAACAGTTGACGAACCACGATGATCATCAGCATTTTGTAATTCTTTTCGACTACAGTCTTATAAAAAGCTCATAGAAGCTTACCTAAAAACCATAAAAGAAAATTTGGCGCAACAACAACAATAGCGCTTTTCAAAATGTGGTTTTCGCTGAGATTCGAAGAAATTACCACCACGTCCACATCGTTTCTAGTGATAGCCTTTTGAAGCCGACAAAAATGTTATAACAAACCAGATCGTTGATTTTTCTTTCTAACGAGGTAAAAAGTGAATGAAGTCACTAAAAATTAGAAGGCATGCTAAACACATAATTTTCAGTACAGAAGCACTGTTCAGATAGTGAAATTGGCGTTGATGTTCTCGCTGTTGTCCACGTTTTTCGTTCTCCATTCGCTCCATCGCCATTACCGTAAGCCGGAAACGAGAGACAGGGCACTGAAGAGGGTGCGAGACGGGCAGACAAATGGGGAAGATCGGCCGCCGCGTTCTCTCACTCTCCCTCCCTCTCTCTCTCTCTCTCTCCGTCGTCAAATGCAAGCAAATCGACAAACCACAAAGGGACTGATTTTATCGATTAACGATTATTAAGAGACAGTATCGATCAATAGATGTAGATGAGTGCATGGATGACAGAGAAAAAAACCCATTAATCTAATATAACTTTATTGATTAAACTTGATATTTGATAAATATAAAATTAGCGAAGGCATGATTGTTGTCGCGCTAAACTTTTGAGACCTGGTATAGTCGCAGCGAAATTTTCACTCGATCACTCGATGAGATTCAATCATTTGGTCAGATTTACTTATCAAGAGCACTTTTCGGAATAGATAGCTCAGGATATTGCTCTCTTGCATCGAATGAATATCATCGCTCATAAATTTTCATTAGTAATTAGCAAGTCTTATTTTCAACAATGCTCATAATATTACCCATACAGCGGTAGAGATTCGCTCAATAGGAAGCTTAACATGAGCTCTTTCAATTCTTTCCATGCCAT